TGTTTTCTGGCTGTCCATGGCTGTTTTCTGGCTGCCCGTGGCTGTTTGCAGGCTGTCTTTGCAGGAACACCCCATCCATGGCCGTGCCATTGCCTCGTTACAGGAAGGATGAGTCCAAGGAGCCGATCGTGGAGGTGCGCACAGAGGAGGAGAGGACCCCCAACCACGACGGGGGCAAGCACACGGAGCCCAACGAGACCACCCCGCTGACAGAGCCTGAGTATGTGGCCTTAGGCAGGCCTGGCACGGGCTCAGCACTGCCCTGAGCCACCCTCACCCATCAGCAGCACGAGTTAGGGCAGCAGGAGAGGAGGAGAGGTAAAAGCTGCGCGTGGCGGTGAGGACACAGTGCTCCTGTGGAGATGAGCTGATCTGTCACCAGCACTGCMAGGGACAGGGGAAGGAAACAGAGAGATGTTAGATCAGCACTGTGCAGCTCACTGCYGAGGATCCAGAGCAGGAGCAGCCCCAGCTGGCAGCGAGAGCTGGAACCCGCAGGGACAGAGAGACAGAGAGAACAGAGAGATCCTGCCCAGGAACCGGGCCTGGACTGGAGATATGGCACTGCCAGGAGAGCTGGACGGGCTCTGGGGTGTCACTGAGGGAGGAATGGGCTCTGTGAGCTGAGCTGGGGGCTCTGCAGTCCTCACACACCCCTGCAGCAGCAGGGCAGGACAGGATGAGGTCAGGCTGGACTGGGGTCCTGTGCTGGGAGCAGGCTGTGCTCAGAGAGCTGAGCTGAGGTCAGGGTGAGAAGCTCTGAGGGAGGTTTAAAGTGAGGAGAGAAGAGACTGTGCAAGCTGGCAGGACCCCTTTGCTGAGCCCAAACTCACAGTCCCTGTGAAGCAGCCATTCCTTCAGGTCATGTTCTCTGGGCTTTTTCCTCTTCCTGATTTCCCTGAGCCGTCCCAGCCTGGCTCCCTCTGCATGTCTGACCTCTGCAYGTCTCTGCTCCTCACTCCCTCTCCTTGTGTGTGTGCTGTCCTCACTCCTCACTCCTCATCCTCATCCTCACTGTCCCTCTCTGCCCTGTCCCCGCTGTGCTTTCGGGCCTTCATTGCCTCTCTCTCTTTCTCTCTTTCTCTCTCTCTCTCTTGTCCCCGTGTCCCCCCCGCAGGCACCCCGCCGACACCGCGGCCACCGTGGAGGACATGCTGCCTTCTGTCACCACGGGCACCACTAACTCTGACACAATCACCGAAACCTTTGCCACGGCCCAGAACAGCCCCACCAGCGAGACCACCACGCTGACCTCCAGCATTGCCCCTCCGGCCGCGGCCGCGCCCGACGCCACCGCGGCCACCGGCCAGGCCACCCCGGCCAAGGGCGCTGCCCCCGCCGCCCCGGCATCGCCACCGCCCTCGTCCACCCCCAGAGTGGCCCCTCTGGTCGATCTCAGCGATACCCCCAGCTCTGCTCCGGCCAMCAATTTGTCTTCAAGTGTCCTGCCGGGCCAGGCCGTGCTCAGCCCCAGCGCCGGCGCGGCCGACGCCGCCAAAGCCGGGCCCAAAGCGGCCACTCCCAGCCCCGCCAGCGTGGTCAGCGCTCCGGCCACGGCCGAGCCCAAACAGGAGGTGGCCAAGAGCCCCGAGAAGGAGCTGGCCCAGCCCAGCRCGGTGAAGAGCCCCACGGAGACCCCCAAGAACCCGAGCACCGCCAAGAGCGAGGCCGGCGCGGGCAGCGCCGCCAACCCCTCGCGCAACGAGGACTTTAAAATGGACGAAGGGACCTTCAAGCCGCCAGACATTGATCTTGCAAAGGATGTTTTTGCAGCTCTTGGCACTGCTACTCCTSCTGCGGCTGCCGGCGGGGCTGGTGGGCAAGCCCCCGAGCCTGCTGCTCCCGCCGCRGACAGCTCTGCCCCCGCCAAGACCGAGTACGGCCGCCTTTACTCTCGTGTTGCTTGTGTGCTGTGTCCCTCGTGCCCTGTGCTCGTGCTGTGTCCTCTGTTGGGTGTTTTCTGACCGATCTCGCTGTTCCCTCGGCCCACTAACCCCACTGAGAGCCCGCAGGGTTTGGCTCGGAAGGTTCCAGAGCAGAGCAGGCTGTGCCAGGGAGGCAGAGGATGSAGAGCTGGGGATGGGTCAGGAATGTGCTGTTCTTTAGGCTTTTGTGCAGCTTTGTCTGTCCTGGGTTGTTCTGTCGTGGCAGAGAGCAGAAATAGCCCAGGTTGGTGTATGCAGGGTGAGGAGTGCAGCCACCCCAATCYCATTTCCTGGCAGATCCGTGGAGCTTCAGGACTCGTTCAGGGTCAGCACAGGGCCCTGTGGATGGTGACAGCACTGGAACCCTGAGAGCTGTCCCTGAGCTGGCAGGAGGCCGTGGGCATGGCTGAGAGGGGCAGTGCCCTGTGCTGGGCAGAGAGAGAGCAGTGAGAGCAGTGAGAGCAGTGCCCTGTTCCAGGCAGGGTGAGAGCAGTGCCCTGTGCCAGCAGGGTCCCAGCTGGGCTCTGCCTGGCCTGCCAGCTGTCACCTCCCTGCCATCACCTCCCTGCCACTTGTGTGTGACAAAATTCCTGTCTTCAGTCTCCTGGGCAATTCCAGGACTGGCCTCCTCCTTTCCTAGGAGCACAAAAAGAGGGATTTCTGCTCAATCCAGGCTGYGACCAGGGAGTTTGGGTGCTAAAGCCAAATCCTTCTGTGAATTTTCCCTGCTGCTCCTTTTTGCACCCCTGACTCAACCCAGGGCAGGAAAAGCCAAAGCAAAGATGAATTTAGAGCTGAATAAACCAGAGTAGGACAGCTGAGCATGGTTTTCCTTTCTCCTGCCATCAGAAAAAGCTGGTTTTGCTCTAAAACGATTCATTTCCAGAAAAAATCCTCTTTTTCCCTGTGGCTAACTCAGCCCCAGCCGTGTTTCTCTGCCTCTAAACTGTGCCCTTTGGTGCTTCCCCCCAGGAAAATGCCAGCAGAGGACAAAGGCGCCGTGCAGGACAGGAAGAGCCCTCCAGCAGAAGTGAAGACGGTGCCCAACGAAGCCACACAAACAAATGAGAACGAGAGCAAAGCATGATCAGCACCGGCAGAGGGGACGGCGGAAAAAAACTTCACCCGAGCATTGAAATCACAACCCACACACCCATCTCATTCCTCTAGTGTCTGTTGCCTTTTTTTAAAAAAGAAAAACAAACAAACAAACCAGAAAATGCATAAATGGGGGGGAGGGAGGGAATGTCTCTTTTTTTCCTTTTCTTTTTTATTTTTTTTTTCTTCTCCTTTTGGTTTGGTGATTTTGTTTTGTTTTGTTTTGATTTTTTTTTTAAAGATTTCTAGAAAGGTTCTATTCGTTGTGCACTTGCTTTTAAAAAGTAAAACATGTTAAAAACAGGGTTAAACCCGTAACCAAATCAGGGCTCAGCTGGCCCTGTGTGTATTCAAAAAAAAAACAAAAATTGCAATGCTGGTTGCAATGTGGTTGGGAAGCTCAAAATCAACTAGTCCTAGACACAGAAAAAAACCACAAAAAAAAGACAAAAAAAAATAAAAAGAGACCCTGTTGTTTCCTTTGTTAGTATAGCAGAGATAACCACTGTGCTGCTGGGCACAGCTGGTGCTTAAAGAACAAAGTCCACAATTTATTTTTATACTTTTCAGTCGAGTTTGAAATATGTAAAGCCTCATAAATAAGTTATAATTTCTGTTCACCTTGTATCTGGTCAGTATGCAAAGTGTCTCGAGCTCTTTGTGACTGAATCCTGCTCGCCACGTTAGATCTTTATTTGGGGTTTATTATTATCTATTTTTTAGGAAGAATGCCAAAATTGCAGCTTCGGGGGATGTATTTCAATTTGCAGTATTCAGACTCTA